AATATTTACAGAAAAGATGTAACCAATATATACTGTATATATAAATAGAGAGAGCAATAACACAACAGAGAGATAACAGAAAGACGTTTAAGAAGGTAGAATACTTGCAGAAGTCCTGGTTTAAGCAGCGTTCAAGTGTCCGAAAAAAAGGGTGCCTTTTCTCCCACAGTTGGTTCCTGATGTTAAAAGGGAGAATCTCTTCATCTTTTCTCTCCAGGCATGACAGCCTGTTTTCTAGGAACCCAGCAGGGTGTCTCCTTAAAGCAGAGAACCAATCGCCTCATTTGGGGAGGGGTGTTTAGGCGGGGACCCTGGCTATGACCAAATCCCTCACTCGTTTATACCATGGTCAATAACCTTCCGTAGGTGCATGCAGCAGCCTAGCCACTGGCAGGTTAATATGCAGAACCATATGCTGAACTTCCAGACATCAAATATGACATATCTGGCTGTGACGGTTAAAGAGATATCACTTTCTGCTCTCTGGTAGACGTTATCTAGAGTGTAAGGTATCAGGTGACTCGTATTAAACTGACCTCTCTGCATATATGCTTTGTTTTATCGTACTTTGTTCCTGCCAGGATTTATGAAATTGTATGAAAAATGGTTTCAAGTGGGATGTATGTTTTACTGCCACCCTGGAATGCTTTCATGTCCAGTGACTGACTGGTTTATAGCTTTACGACCCGGTCAGACATCATGGAACCAGCTAATTGGGTTTACAACCATGAAGCATATCCAGCTGTGCCCGATGGCCTTGTGACCCCAGCATACACACGCACCACATGCCATTAAAAAAAAAAGGAGGGGGACTGATTTGGAGTAAGAATTACATTTGCAGAGTATGATCCAAATTATGGTTGTCATTGTCCATATCTGTGCGCACAATTATCACATTCACAAACTATGGAATATATCTGAATATTGATCAATCCTGAAGTACTGACGGCCAATCTAATTTCTTCAGGTCCAAGAATGTCAGAACACTGCAGATATCCCTCAAATGACCCCTTTTTGCAAAGTAGACAGTCCGACGCACTTCATAAGAGGCATGAAGAGTTTTTTGAAGTTGTAATTTTTTTCTCTTTTTTAAGATTTTGTTTTTCATATTTCACTACAACCAAAGTAGTATGATGTTACCATAGTAACATTGTACAACTTTGGGGAAGTGAACAGTATTTTTTTTTTTTTTTTTTTACACAATTTGCTTATAGCAAAGAATTACTTTGCTATAAGCAAGCATTTACCTGAATTAAATCGATTCATTCAGGTTTTTTTTTGTGCTTAGCTGTGATTTGGCCACGGCTAATCACATGACACAGCTGGGCTGTGATTGGCCCAGGTTGTGCATGTGATTGCTGTGACCATTCACAGCTAGACACACTTGTATACAATGGATGGCATGAAAGGAAGCCACCCATTGTATACAACTGTCATGTGGCCTGCTGTGATTGGTCACAGCAGGTCACATGATACTGGCAATGGGGCCGGTACACAGATCTGTCATTGGCCCGCGTCCGAGGTACACGGCCGGTGACAGATCGTGCCGCAGCGCGGCCCTGCAGCAATGCGCATGCCTGAAAGGACGCCACATGGTGTCCACCCGGAGGGACGAGGTTAAAGTGGTTGTGAACCCTTCCATATACCCAGTGAAGTTACTGGCCTCAGGTGATACACAGAGATGAAACAAACCCTCCCTCGTAAGTTTTACCAGTTTATCTGCAGTCTTTTTTTCTCTAACAGCCATTCAAAGTGCAACATTTATAAAATTTGTATGAGAGTTCATAAAAAAAAGGGGGCAGAGAGCTGAAATTACACTCTGCAGAGCTCAGTGAGAGCTGATTGGAGGGAAGGGACACACCCACTTCACACAGCACACAGAAACAGAGCTGAGGCTGTCAATCACAGGCTATAAACAAGATTCTATGGCACAACCCTAATCCACATGGGACATTAGTACCATTTGCATGAGTTCAAATGTATCATCAATTGGTCCATAAAATGTACATTAATGAAATCATCAGTAGTAAACTCGCATATATAGAGGAGTAGTTAGCTTGTAAATGGAAGAAGGCCTCAACAGGGGGATCCGCAAGTCCATCAGTAGTAGTGAGGGAGATGGAAGCTGGGTCAGAGGGATCACGGGCTAGTAGTCCCTCCCGTCACCATTTTTCTGTTGGTGTCAGGAAAACTTTTCAGAAGTGATTCATGCTGATTGCGGAGGAACGAGGCAGCAGACAGAAATGACGCTTAGTGCTCTGGACTGAGACAAGTACACACTATTGAGGGATATGCTTTGTTCATATTTCACGTCTGAGGTTTACAACCACTTTAACGCATTCCCTGCAACACCCTACTATCACCCCCCTCCCTGCCATGCCTAAAACACTTACCTGACTCTTCCCACTGACCCAGGGCCATCCTGGATGCAGCACCACTCTCCTCTTTTCCTGGTCTAAACAGCCATAGGCTCCTGCTGCTGTCATTTAAACTTCTGTGAGTAGGGAGCGGGGGTGTGGCTTGCTGGCGCTGTGTGTGTGTCTATGGACGCACACAGCCTGGCTCAGAAGACACAGCATGCCGAGGGCACGCTTGGAAGAACAGCACCAGCAGGGGGGACCGCCAAAGGGGAGGTAAGGGACCGCTCTGTGTAAAATTGTTGCACCGAGAAGGTAAGTCAAACATCTTTTTTTAATTTTAATAAAAAAATATCCTTTAAAATCACATTAAAGCTGAATTCTAGGTATGTAAGTCTGATTATTCCATGCCTGGAAAGTGAAGAATGACTGTAGTGCAGGGCTTGACAAATTTGCTTTCAATCTAGGAGCCAGCTGAAAAAAGTTAGGAGCCAGGCTTTTTTTTAGCGTAGCGTGGGTTGGACTTCACGCAATGCGATTTGCAACTTGACAATCACGGCAAAAACTGCGCCACGTTTTAGGCGCCATTGAAAATAATTGCACCTGAACCTGCATTTTGCGATCACAGAGATTCTGCTGCAATCCCAAAATGTCCAGGTGTTCTCACACATGAAATTCTAGATTTATTTGAAACTCACAGGTTCACATGACAGGCTAGATATTTTGCGCTCCTATTGAGTGGTTCAAACCAATGCGATTCACATGCATTGCGTTTTGTTGCCATTTTGAAAAGGGACGTGACTTCTTCCATTTGAAGTGTACGGGTCGCGACTTCCCATTGAAGTCTACGGGCCGCGACTTTCCATTGAATTCTACGGGGCGCGACTTCCCATTGATGTCTACTGGACACAACTTCCCATTGAAGTCTACGGGGCGTGACATCCCACTGAAGTCTGCGGGGCGCGACTTCCCATTGAAGGCTACGGGGCACGACTTCCCATTGAAGTCTACGGGGCGCGACTTCCCATTGAAGTCTACAGGGTGCGACTTTCCATTGAAGTCTACGGGGCGCGACTTCCCATTGAAGTCTACGGGACACAACTTCCCATTGAAGTCTACAGGGCGCGACTTCCCATTGAAGTCTACGGGACACAACTTCCCACTGAAGTCTACAGGGCGCGACTTCCCATTGAAGTCTACGGGACACAACTTCCCACTGAAGTCTACAGGGCGTGACTTCCCATTGAAGTCTACGGGACACAACTTCCCATTGAAGTCTACGGGGCGTGACATCCCACTGAAGTCTGCGGGGTGCGACTTCCCATTGAAGGCTACGGGGCGCGACTTCCCATTGAAATCTACGGGGCGCGACTTCCCATTGAAGTCTACGGGGCGCGACTTCCCATTGAAGTCTGCGGGGCGCGACTTCCCATTGAAGTCTGCGGGACGCCACTTCCCTATGAAGTCTACGGGATGGGACTTCCCATTGAAGTCTGCGGGACGCCACTTCCCTTTGAAGTCTACGGGATGGGACTTCCCATTGAAGTCTATGGGACGCGACTTCCCATTGAAGTCTACGGGACGCGAGTTCCCTGTGAAGTCTACGGGGCGCGACCTCCCTGTGAAGTCTACGGGGCGCGACTTCCCTGTGAAGCCTACAGGGCGCGGCTTCCTATTGAAGGTTATTGGGGGGGCGTGTGTGAACCCAGGCGCCTGGACACAATTTTTAGTCGCCATGGAGACATGGCGCCTGGGATTTGTCAAGCTCTTTTGTAGTAGCTGATGACTCCCTGTGGTTACTATGAAGCAGGCCAGCCACTTGACACAGGATCTGTAAGACAGGTCTACCACAGGGCTGTGCCAGGTATGGAATTTACCACTCCATGTAAAACTAAAAAAAATGTGTGTGGGTGTTCTATTTTAGGTACAATACATTGATCAGTTTTTTTCTTTTGATGATCAGTCTGTATTTACCATATTTACCATTTGTGGGCTAGTACCTATGGTAGCAGGGTTAGTGGGGGCAGCACCCTGAACACGCCATCTCTGGACATACTTTGGGAGGATGTGGAGAGTAGTCAGAAAAGTCATTATAGTTCTGAAAAATATGAAACTCTTCTTTTCTCTTGTTTGGAGGTCTTTACACTAGCTCTGTATATAAAGGAGACCCCCGTGCTAACCTAATTAGCCCCTTCTAGCAGGAAGTTTTTACTAAATAATTACATGGAGCAAAGTTTGTACCAAAGGGCATCATTATTCTGCTTGTCTAGGAGAGCATGGTGTCTAAATGCAACTCTGATCCTGGTAGGCAATGAAAGGTCATTTGCTGTTCTTACTGCATTCTCTTACAATAATTTCTACTTTGTTTTCAGCACAACAGTCCATTACCTGGATGACCACAGATCTCTGTTCGCATCAGCCTGAGAAATGGAAGCATCACCGAAAATCTCACAAAAGAGAACTCAAGAGGACTTGAGTAAAAAGAAGGACCAAGAAGCCAAACTTTCATCTAAAGGGACTAAATCCAGTGAGGATAAATGTCCAAAAGTGAAAAAGACAAAAGAGCATAAGGAAGCTCAAGATCCTTCATCTGAGGAAGAAAAAGCGAATCAAGATCGTCAGTGGTTGCGAATCCAACTAAATATGCAAACTAAGTCATTACCTATGAAAATCAAAGAAGAAAGGAAGAACATGTCCGATGATCTTGAAGAGCATTCCCTTGCAAAGTCCAGGCCTTATATCTGTGTGATTTGCCAAAAGAGTTTTGCTCAGAAGTCGAACCTTGTAACCCACTTTCGAGTCCACACTGGATCCCGGCCTTACATGTGCGTTGAATGTGGAAAGACCTTCAGCACCAGCTCAAATGCAGTCACTCACCAGAGAGTTCACACTGGGGAGCGCCCTTACAGCTGTGGCGAGTGCGGGAAAAAGTTCAGCATCAGCTCCAACCTGGTGACCCACCAAAGGGTTCATACGGGGGAAAGACCTTACTCTTGTAGGGACTGTGGCAAGAGTTTCACTCACCGCTCCAATCTGGTCATACACCAGAGAGCCCATTCTGGGGAGAAACCCTACATGTGCCAAAACTGCGGCAAAAATTTTACACACAGCTCTCACCTTGTAGCCCATCAAAAGGTCCACACTTAAAGCACTTCTTCACTAAGAGTGATGGGTTTGGACACGTGGCCATATCAGCCCAATCCATTGCTTGGCAAAACTTGGCAGTAGGGACCTTTTTATTGTCTTTCTGGTGGGAGAGAGCTGTGGTCTGAGTGGAATCTGGCAAGACTTGACCTAGTGTTTGTTCTTTATTGCTGTCAGGATCTATGGAAACAAGATCTACTCTGCCCTTAACGTTAAGCTTCTTTGTTACTAGCTTGTTTAGTCCTCTCTATATTTCTAGAATACAGTGAAGAGCAGGGGCGGACTGACCATGCGGGCACTCGGGCACTGCCCGAGGACCCAGGGTCAGTAGGGGGCCCCATGAGATGCCCCTAGTACCTTTCATAGGCTTTTTTGGGTGTGGTTTGAGTGTGGGCGAGGACACAGGGGCCCCATGATCCCCTGTTGTCCAGGGGCCCCATGAGTTCTCAGTCCGTCCCTGGTGAAAGAGCCAAAGATATAGGCATTTCTAAGTTCTTCGCTTTCTAGAACATATGGAGAACTGTTGGTGACAACAGTAGCATAGCTTGCAACTGATTTATGAGATTTTACCAGCTGTTTCTCTATTGGTGGAGAGGGGGGCTAGGTTTCCGCATCAGGGTCCCAGGCAACAGTAAAGTCCTGCAATAGCACAAGTCCTGACCCTTTCCACCCATTCTGGAGCACTGCGTTTGTAGTGGAGGTGCTCAATTATCTGCCGTTTATTATTTATATTACATGCTGTGTGATGTTTGAGCACCGGTTATGGGTGTCGTAGTGAAAACTCCTTCTGGTCAGTATGTGAAGTAATAACCTTCTGACCAGGAATCCTTTCATATGTGAGATGTATGACAGACATTGCATGTAACAAAAGCAAACAGGAGATGAAGACCAGGTATCCACCTCACAGAGATGAGGAAACTGGGTCATACTTCTGCCATAATTTATATAAGTATTTTTGTCTGATAGCAGAACATGCAGTATATCCATATGGGTCAGTCAGGCATAGCATGGTGGTCTTGTAGTTGAACTATCTGCTTCTGTTTTCCTTCTTCCACTGAATCTATAGACATTTAGTAATGTGCCCTGTAGTAATCCTGCGGTCCTGAAAGGGTCGGTCCTACCAAAACTGATATATGTGTCTTTTGGTAAATGCTGGAGAATGAAGGGCCTGTTTAATAGAACTCTTAGGGACTGTGGTGGTGGGATCTCTTGACCTTACAGGTTGACATATAAGCCACAACCTTTCTGAAGGGTTCTAACACTTTTGATTTGTTTTACATTATGAAAAATGCAGCTAAAGAAGTGGGAACACCTAAAGTTGAGTGGAAACACAAAACTTCCAAGGTGCTCAGCAACAGGGTCTGGACATGGCTAGGAGTTCCAATCACTGCAGTCTCCATGGCACGTAAGTTGTCAGTGGGTTACTCAGTCCAGCAGTAGAAATCCTGTAATCATGTCAACCTCCTGTTGTAGAGACTTTAATACCAAGAAATTTAGAGATAACATATAAAAGGATCGTGATAACTTCATAATACCCTTTGAAAGAATGGGTGCTGGGCAGAGACTTATGAAAGAAAGATATTTCCAGTAGACTAGTTTTCGATGGAATAGGCCTTCAAAATGTTTCTTCCTCTTAACTGATATGTGACATTTAAAAGGCTGGACAGGTTGAATAATACATTTTGCAAGTATTACTTCTCATGTTCCATTACATCTATACAGACTGTATCCAATGGGAAATGTTCTGATTTTGCCTGTTGTCCTGGGGGAACGGTGGGCAGCTCTCTACACTTGGCTTTGGAATGGTCATTTAGATAGGAAATTCAAGTGTCAACATTTTCTTAATGGCCTACTAGCAAAATGTCTACAAATATTGATGCGGTTAACTTTGTTTTGTAAGGTATGACCCCTGGCTTGCAATATGAAGAGTGTCAGGTGGAATTGTTTTTTTTTTCTTGGCTTGGCAACCCATTTTTCATTACATATTGGATATGTATTTTGAATGTTTCATTAATTGCATTTCTGTGACCACTGGCTAACACCAACCATGGACCACTCTTCATTACAGCCATTATCTCTGGATGATATAAAAGAACTGGGGCTGATGTAACAGACAAGCAGAACCTTGAAATTAAAATGTTTTGGAGGGGCTTTGCCTGAGTAAAATATAGAGATCACACTCTTGTAGTTTGCTACAAAGTAACTAGAGAGCGACTGTGAATAAGTAGTAATTCTTTCTTCGGTTATATTTAAAGAAAACACATGCAGCTCCGAATGTGAGGAGTGAAAAGGGCAAGCAGATTTTCAATGTATGGCTAGCAAAACGTGCATATTGGAGGAGCAATATACTGTAGAGCAGTCTCTCAACGTTTTCAACATGGAGGAACCATCGAAATAACTTTCTAGCCTCATGGAACCCCTGCTAAAAATGACTATATCTACAACTCATGATACATTGGTGTGATGGTCAGTGGGAAGAATGCTCCTTACACTTGTGGCCATTGGGAAGAATTACCCCCTTACAGATAGATAAAAATATCAATGGTGCCAATGGGAACTTATCTAAATTGCTCATTGCTCAAGGATCCCCTAGCAACCTCTGGAGGAACCCTGGTTAAGATAAAGAGAGGAAGGCGCCTCTAAGTGCAGTATTGACCATTTATTTAGGTAACAATTGATAATTGCACTAACGGTTAAAAAGACTCATTGTGTGGTAATTAGATCCAGGTGGGACATCCAGCCGTCCAGCAGCAAACTATGTCTATAGGATCAGGAAGTAGAGTCTGAAGAAGGAGCCTATTGAGTATGCTCCGAAATGCATTACCGCCCCCAATTCACCTGCTACATCTGACTCTGCTCTCCAAGCTTCATTTTTGATGCACAGGCACATCCTGGACTCTACTTCCTGATCCTATAGGCATAGCTTGCTGCTGGATGGCTGGACGTCCCACCTGGATCTAATTACCACACGATGAGTCAATTTAACCGCTTATCTTGTAAGTGCAATTTATCCATTGTTTACTAAATAAATGGTCAATACTGCACTTAGAGGCGCCGTCCTCTCTTTTTCTTGTTACTGCATTAGAGTCTTGCTTCCACTCTAAGAAGAGCTGCCTCAGTGTTACTGCTCCCATCCATCCATGCATCCATCCATCCCTGATATCCATCTGGCACCTTTATCGTACAGCTACAGAGGTTGGGCTCCAACAAGCGTGCCCTATATAATATACATACCCTGGTTAAGATACCCTGCTTTAAAATCAAGTTCCCAACTCATAGTCCTGCTAAGCAGCAAAGGAGACCTAACTGAAAACCTCTAACATTATGATAAAATAAGTATGCAGAATATTCGTATGTTCCCAGAATTAGCCCTTTTTCAGAAATTGACTATGGAGGTCCCCAAAAAAATCAACAAAATTGATCCTCTATATACTCTTAGCTTCGAGGATCACTGTTGCTAAACATTGGAAGTGATTGATTGTGGACCCAATACTTATCTGTCCTTTAGCTGGGCCTCGGATGACCTTCTTCTTCTTCTTGCTTTTCCATTTCTCTCTTATTCTTTTCTTTCTCTTGTTTCCTACCTTAATTTCCCCCCCTTTTTTTTTCTTTTTTTTGGGTATACTTGGACCCAGTACCTGACTGCTGGTAGGATGTGTTCTGAAATGACGACAATGGTTGCTGTTCATCTCAGATTACTGGTTTTGATAGGGGGACTTTGATTCCCATATATTGCCTGATTTAATTGATTATTTTTTCCAACACAACTCCTTCTCTATTTGTATGATCACCTGAGAACTTTGTAGCTCTTCTTTCTTTATCCTTTAATAAAAAGTTGGAAATATATCAGTATGCAGACATAGATGAAATTCTTGTACCGGTACCAGGAGCCTCTATAAAAGTGGTTTCTACTCTAATTTGCATAAGTACCACCATTAGGGTATCTCAGCACAGAACATACCTAGAAATGGCTACCAATATCTACCTTAAGAGACCCAGCCTTTACCAACTAAGGCACCTTCTAAGTTCTTCAGGGGTGCCTTGGCAAAATGTCTACATATTGCTGTAATTGCCCAAAAATGTGAAACCAGCCAGGGAGTGGATCAAGCCTGCCATTTTGTTACACAAAGCCACGGGTTTCTTTTGTGCAGCATTACAATTTTGGACACCGTGCGGAGCAGCCACTTTCATCCTAAGAATCAATGATGTGATCCGTTGAGGAGGACATCAGGCCCTTCAAAGCATCCTTGTTTGCCCCTCTCTGTCAGTCCTAGGGTTACATTAGCAGAAAGAGGGAGAGAAACCAAGGAAGAAGAGAAATGCTGCAATACTAGTTGGTACCAGCTTGCAGAGATGGAGAAATAAATCACCTCTAATGTTGGGTGTTCTACATATGTAGACGCTGCTGCGATATGTAAAACTATTATTTAAATTTTTTTTAATTTTTTTTAATGGGGTGCCTCAAGATTTGTGCAGCATTTTAAAGAGTGCCTTGGCTGAAAAAAGTTCAGAAACATTGCCCTAAACAAATGGAAACACCAGTTTCCTGCAGTAGAAGGGGTGGCATGACCATCTGGGGGCCCATGTCTCCTAACTTCCCATGGCTGCTGAGTGATGTGGGGATCAAAGAAAGAAACCATAACACGTGGCGGGGGCACAGGCGTCCGATACTCCCAGAACTGTTCAAGGCCAAAGAGACTGGTGAAATCGGCAGCGATAGGACAGAGGGGAAGTGGGAGACATAGGTTGTCAAAAAAGGTGAATATAATACCTCTTCTATTGCTGGGGACTGGCGTGTTCATTTGTTTAAAGACCTAAGAGGGTCTCTGTAAAGGTAAAGTGGCACAGAGATACCCTGGCTTGCTAAGTGGAGCTAAACACCTCTCGAATGTTCTAGACCAGGGATTCTCAACTAGGGTTCCTCCAGAAGTTGCTTGTTGTTCCTTGACCTGTGGCTAATTGACCTCCCATCTTATGATGCCTCCATGGGTCCAGGTCCAATGCCAATTGGCAGAACCAGTGGTATGATCCAACCTGGCTGGCTGGCTAAGATCGCTTCTCGGCCTTTTGGCTAAGATCAAGTGTAGTATCTGTTCTTATCAGTGTCCAGTGGGGGTGCTACCGACCATTCTGGTAAGAGGATGGTTGTTGTATGGTACCCTCACTGGTATGATGGGGGTCTGGATGGCTATTACGGGGAGGACAGAAACCGGGGAGCGCCATGATTCGTTCTGGGGCCTCGGGAGTAATTCTCCTTTGGAAGTCTGAAGGACCCAGTTGCCTCCTGATTTGGACGGTCTACCTTGGTCTGGCCTGGGGCTGGGAAGGCAGAGAGTCCGCAAACTAGGTGCCCCCTGAGTAGTCGCCTCAGGGGTG